CCCCCCAACCCCGCCCCCCTCCCCCCGGCCAAAGTTGTAAAGTTCGTTTTTCGACATAACGACTTGCACATCTCATTGTTGCAATGGGTCCACCTGTATCCTTATTTAAACGATTTGTTTTTTCTTTTCCTCTCCACAAATTATACTAGTGAAGTAAGCCAGGACCAAAGAAACATAGGTCCCATGGTTTCCCTTATTTGCACTAACCAGTATATGTCTGAGACAAGCAGAAAAGGTCAGATAAGTTGATGTTAGGTGAAATGAACCCCAAGATGAGTATTAAAATCTTTTTTTCTTTCATGCGATTTTTTCTAACATATTTATGAGATGATTCCTTTGTTGCTTTGTATGTCCCTCCCCCACGGTATAACTCCTGCTTTCACTGTATTTGATGTAGAATACTTTGTTGACAGCTTTTTCTTTCACATGTTCACAATTTTGTTCCACTTTCTTCCAGCATCCATTGTTTCTGAAGAGAAATTAACAGTAATTAGATTTACTGTTTCTTGTGTTTATAGGATTTTTTTCCCCTTTGATAGTCTTTAATAGTTTCTGGATTCTACTTTTCTGGACTAATGCTCCCTCTCCCTTACGTGTCTACTTACATTCCAATGGATGTAGTTTGTTCCATACGTGGTCCTCCCCTTCTTCATATGAGAACATGTAGGTTTTATATTGACATTTCACTCACTCCACAAGGCTTTATCTCAGACTAAAAGTATTTCCTTACCCAGTTAATTCTTATTTACCAAGTCTCCCCTTACTTTTCATCTTTTCCAAAAGCATCTTTAAACCTCTAGAGTCAGTTGAGTGTATCTGGCAGTTGGGAATGTATTTGGCTGCATTCAACAACAACCACAGCAAAAAATATTACAATGTGACATGGAAAAAAAACAAAACAAAAAACTGGATTCTTTTTTTCTCTCATATATGAAGTGGTGAGTAATTCAGAAGTGGGAAATTTAAAATTATGATAGCTACTTAGATAATTTCCCCATCTATCTGTGTGCTAGCCAAGTAAAGCTTTTATCCTGTCATCTCAAGATAATATTTATATCCTGTGCTTTGCAAATACTTTTTTAGGTAGACAGAAGAGGCAAAGACAATTAGTAGGATGATAAACTCATGTTGGTTTGATTGATGCTTATTTACTTTTAGTCCTAAAAGTTCTAAGTTTCATTACTTAAGTAATTTTTTTAAACTGGCTGTCATGATATGTTTTTGTTGTATAGGCTAAAAGTTATGACAGAGGATTGCAAAATAAAAGTCAGGCTACGTATTCTTCTGCAGAATTGAAATCTTATAACTTATGCTCACAATTTTAGGTTAATAGAAATGCTAGGTTGTTTGGGTCCTAGGATTAAAAATTTAGTATCTTGAGTATCTTCAGAGAAAACTATTCCAACATTTACTTAGATAATTTATTCTTAGGTTCTTTCCATAATAATAGCTTAATTAAAATATTCACATCATTCTTGATTATTTTATCAAGTTTTGCAATAAAATATATAAAAATGTTATAAAATATATAAAAGGTAAAATCAAAATATATATTGCTTTAAGATTTTAAATATAAGTGCAAATTAAAGAAGAAAACAAGTAAACAAAGAAATCTCAATGTTTTGAAAACTTCAACTACTAAAATAATGTTTAAATATAGGTACTTTGAAATGAAAATAGAATTATTTATACCTATATTAAAAATTTAATATAATTCAGATGTTTAAAGAGGAAATATATATGTGTATGTATATGTGTGTGTGCATGTGTGTATGTGTCTTTATGTGAGTGGAAATACCTCATTCAAACATACTGATTTCAAAGTAACTGGGGAACACACAACAAATCATCAATATTAATTATGGATTTCAAGGAAATTAAAATTTATTCCTAGTCTACTCATTGTTTCCTCCAGGGCATAAAATAGTATTTCATATTATCCACAGGAGCAGGATATAATTCTTTCTGTGATTAAATAAAGGACTATACTATAATCTTGCTAGTAATTTCACAGGATTTTTTTAATAAACTGATATTGTATAAGCATAATTAATAATATATAGCAAATATATAGTGTTGTAAAACCACAAGCAAAACAATCACTAGCATTTTCTACTTGTTTGTTTTTCCCTGAAGCAGTGATCACAAATGATGACTCTCCATAAAATAACTCTTACCTTTTGATCAGAGCACTTGCATGCATTTTTCTTTTGTAAGAATTATTTAACACAAATACCTTTCATCTGTAGTTCATCAATGGGTTTTTCTACAAACAAAACCAAGAGTTCATTTTAATATGAAGAGTTCTTTAAGCCAAAATTCAAGTACATATTTTCTGACCCCAAGACTCCCAAGGAGCTACTTCTCTGACTTCAGTAGCCAAATTAACATAACTAGGAGTATAATTGTCCTTGCTGAAGGATTTGGAAATAAAACCTGTGTGCAAGCTTGGCTTACATATTCAGAGATATTTGGACAGAATGTAGACATTTTTTATTTTAGTAAATGATTAACAGAGGAATTCTGAAAGTACTAAACCATAGTGTCATAAGCTATTACTCTCTCAAGTCTCAGCCATCTCTTCCTCTCAGCCCTAAAACCACACCTATTCTGGAACCCTAGATAGCATTCTCTCTCTTCAGTTTATTAGTCTTAAGTCTTGAATTCAGTCTTTCACATCCAAATTCAACTCTCTTCTGAACCCATTATTTAAATGTCATTGTGTCTCCCCAATTAGTGCTATTCACTTTGTTCAAGTCCTCACATTTTTAGATATCTATTAGTATTAGGGAGAAATATTACTTAGAATGTTTTTCAAAACTTATTTCAGAAACTAATAGCTCACATAGCAGAAATACTTTACAGCAATTATATAAGTACAATGCATGTTGAACTTGTAGTTTATGTGAAAAGGTCAGATGATCTTTCTATCAGATTGAAACAATATACTGTTATGACATCTCCTTTATAGAGTGCTAAAGTTCAAATCCTAAGTGTCTTAAAAAATCCAGGTAGTAAAGGCTTGGGCTCCAAGATGGTACTATTGGAGGAGATAGGAAAATATCTTAAAGAGGAGTTGCGGGACCTTGCTCTTTTCCTCTTTCTTATTTACCAGCCATGAGGTAAGTGATTTAACTCTACCACATGTTCCATCCATAAAATGCTTCTTCAGTATAGGCTAAAAGCAATAGGACTAATTGACACTGGACTGAAATCTCCAGAAATGTGACCTAAAATACACCTTTTCTCTTTGCAAGTTGCCCATCTAATTTATTATAATGATAGAAGCTGACTAACCCAGTGAATTATTCTTGCTGGTGAAATAGTTTTATTTGATTAGAATGTCTCTCCTATCTATCATCATTAGAACTCTTATTTGGGTGGCTTCTAATGCAAGCAAGTCTTGATGTTCCATTGTTTTACAATTATTTTTTTTAGCCAAACATATTTTTCCACAATCTGTCGGCATAAAGCAGCCACTTCCCATGTATTTGTACCAAAGACACACACACACACACATACACAATACTGTAATATTACTGTAATACTATGTCTTTGCCTTTTATATTTAGCTCTTGCTAAATATAATGAGGTCAATGAATATTTGGAATAAACTTAAAGTGACGTCAAAGAAGGTATCCTTCATCTCATGGAAGAGGTAGTAATTAGGAAGTGTAGAAATGAATCAGTAGAAAATATAAGTTGGTACAGATTCAGTTTGTAAGTTCATATTTACCTTGTAGGGATTAATCCTGAAATAACTCTGATTTAATTGATATGATCATGTTGCTTAGCCCAAGTTTATAACAAATATTCAATAAATGCTTACAAAAGTGATATGATTGAAGAATAGTGTTCATATGGGGTGAAGAGCACGATGACCTATCAGACAGGTAGTATGAAAACAATACAGGATGTAGTTCAAAAGGAATAATAGTGCTGGGCACCCGGGGCTCATGCCTGTAATCCTAGGTACTCAGGAGGCTGAGATCTAAGGACCACGGTTCAAAGCCAGTCCGGATAGGAAAAGCTGTGAAACTCTTATCTCCAATAAACCACCAGAAAACCAGAAAGTGGCATTGTAGCTCAAGTGGTAGAGTACCTGCTACCTGTGTGTATGTATATATACACACATATATGTATATATTTGTACAAATTATATGTATATACATATCTTCAGGTATAGGTGTACATATATATGTATTCTCAATAGTCTTTACACATAAAAATTTGATAAGTCTCAATAAGCAAAGACCTCTTAGAGATAAGGTATCATTTTAATGCCCCATTTTGCAACTCAGAATTATAATGAAAGGTTATATTAAGTAAATTATCCAAATGTAAGAGCTATGTTTGTGTTTGTGCTGTAATGCTTTTTCTCAAATTAAAAATTTACTCTTCATTCAAATATTTTATATGATATCCATTTCATTGTGATAATTTATGGAAGAACAATAGTATTCCATAAATAACATGGAACCATAAGAAGTTAAAACGTCTGCCTTAAGCCCCCCACACACAAACACACACACACACACACACACACACACACACACATACACACACACACACACACACACACACACACACACAACATAGTCCCATATTTCTTTGTCTTTAATGTGTGCCTAAGCTATATATAGAAAGTCATCAACATGTTGTAACTCAAAAATAGTATAGAAAATTATCTTTCTTATATTTTTAAATACTGTCTTCTAGAAAATAAATTTCATGTATTATCACTGTCTTTGCATTTACTGTCTTTTCCCTTGTCCTAATCCAACTACTACATTATTTCCTATCATGTGTGATAAGTTGGTTTCCCAGGAGAAGCTATTCAGTTTGACAATCAGGAAGGCATGCCTAAGGCACTGACATCTCTGGAAATGTTGCTGCAGTTGACACTGCTTTTCAGAAGATGTGTATGTAGAAAGTAACTAACTTTGTAACTGGTTTTATATTGTTTTATGCTGATGATTTGCATTGTAGAACTGCCAGCAATAAAATTTGGTTGTTTCACGAATTTGCATGTCATCCTTGTGCAGGGGCCATGCTAATCTCCGTATCATTCCAATTTTAGTATATGTGCTGCCAAAGTAAGCACTAAAATTTGATTGTTTAAGTCAATTAGTCCACCAGTATTTTGTTATGACATGTGCCCATGAACATATAATTTGTATGTATTAAACCCTTTCTCGCTATTGAATTAGTTATTGTATGTAGACACAGGTAGAATATTTGTTTAAACTATTTATTAACTAGTTTACTGTATCCTGATAGATTCAAATTTAACTGAATAGTTTCTTTTGTTGTTGCTGTTTTGAAGGGTTTATTGTTGCTTTGCATTAAAACATTCTCTCCTCTCTTGCTCTCTCGTTCCATCTAGTTGGCACAGTTAGTGCTATTAATTTGAGAAACACTGATTCTCTTTCCTTGTATTTAGAAGCAACTGAGACTCTATGCTATTTTTATTTGTCTCTTTTCTCCCCTTTAAATTGATGCATGGTTGCATTTTATCATTTTGCTTACGTTTATCTCACAGCTTTGCACTTTTTGTTCACTAGAAAAATATAGAGCAGATGATAGTCATTGGGAAAAATAACATGTAAAACAAAAATTCAACAGTGTTTCACAGAAAACAAATGTCATAGATGCACTATGTCTAGAGTAGGAAAATTTTAAAAATTAAATTTAAATTTAAAAATTTATGTATAGGAAAAAAGCATTTTTTTGTTTAAGCCAAGGAAAGCACCATGTTAGTCTGTTTTACAGACATTTGGCACTAGGCAAAAGAATGATTACATGTATATTTAAATTAAATTTTAATTTTAAAATTTGTGTGTAGGAAAAAAGCATTTGATTTTTGTTTTCATTTAAGACAGGGAAAACACCATGTTAGTCTGTTTGATAGACACTGAGCACTAGGCAAAGAATGATTACATGTACATTTCATGCTTTTTGTACAACATTGTGTATACTTCTCTGAACAAACTGCACTTAAAATTATCTCCTTACAGGGATGTTGCCTCTCTAGAATGGAATCTTTCTGGAAGCAGAGATTTCATTTAGCTTTGTTTGCCCATTATGATGCTTATAACTTTCAACATATGTTTGTTGTATCAGATTATATAAAACTGGTTGGGAAATTTGTCTTTTACTAAGCCAAGAGATATAATTCTGTAAGCAGTTTAGAAAAGCAATATTTTCGCTCTCCTACTGATATACCAAGACATTCCACTTACTAGTACACATTATTACTTTTGTCGGTTGTTTGGCTTGAACTCAGGGCCTAGGAGCTTCTTTGTACTCAAGGCTAGTACTCTAACATTTGAGCTACAGCATCACTTCCTGCTACACATTATTATTCCACACAATTAAACTGGGTATGCATATATAGTATCTTGGGAGGAACTGAGATTTTTGAGGCAGTTGAAAAGAACAGAAATATTTACTTTCTGGATTAATTTCATTGATGGGAATAGCATAATCTTTTTTCCTTTTTTTCTCTTCATTTTGTCTTATTTATTTTTATTGAAAGATGATGTACAGATTAGTTAGTTACATACATTAGGTAATGACTGTGTTTCTTTTTTAACAGTGTCACCTCTTCCCTCATTTTCTCCCAGTTTTTTCCCTGACCCTTGTCCCTCACAAATTGTATAGTTTATTTTTAACACAGTGTTACCCCTGCATTTGTTCACCCAAATGGTGGGACATAAAGTAATAATCTGTTTACTTCAGTAAATAGAAGCATTAAGAGTAAAACAGGCTAAAGCATGCTCAACCAGGCATTTGCCTTTCTTTGTGAGTGGATCAATGTAAAAGGGACTAAATGTAAACAAGACTATGAAAATAGAAATAAAATGCTAAGGTACCAAGAATCCAGTTGGAATCAAAATGTATTGAGATATTACTTAGTTTTCTAAAGCTATCTTAGATTATTTGATATTTTTTAAAGCTCTGTTTTAGTTCATCTATTTTAGATTCCTTTTTACCTTTTAGTTTGAAATATTAGGTTTATACAACTGTTACAAAGATAGCAGAGTTCTAATATTCCTGTCATTCAACTTTTCCTTATGCCAACACCTTACATAAACATAATACATTTATGAAAATGGAGAAATCAACACTAATATACAGTAAACCACAGATTTCAAATTTCCCCAGCTTCTTCACAGAGGTGGTATTTCTAATCCAGGATTCAATCTAGCAATTTTCTGTAAAGTTTACTTTTGGCTCTTAAATGTATACTGTACAAAGTTTCTATATTGCGTCAGTTATGTGTTTGGCTATTTCCTGGATTTAATTGTTATCCTTATGTTCCTCATTTATTCACCATGCACAGGAGAGATATTAAGTCTCCATTTTCTCTCTGTCAGTCTTTCTCTATAGTCTGCCTCTTTCTACCTCTCCCCTTTGTGCATGGTTCTCTCTGAAGACACCTTGCCTCTGACCAAACTGACATTTGCATAATTCGAATCAGCTGAAATGTACCATTTTTCTCTTTCCCTTAAATAATTTTGGCCCTTAGAGAAAACATATAAGCAGAGGTTGTCAAGTCAATCTGACAACCCTGTTAATGGTATATTTAATTTGTATTATAACACAGAGTGAAAGCTTTAATAATTTCTTGGAGTTTAGGATCAAATAGAAAACTTCAAACTATTAATACTTTCCCAATCCTTACTATTTGAGGGTCTTAAAAATGTTTTCTTAAAAATAATGATTTTAGCTGATGTACCAATTAAACGAGATTAAAAAATATTGGTTATTTTCCGTAGTAAAGAACATTGTTGGCAATAAATATGAGTTAGTGTGTTTATATCCATAAACTAGTAAATTATGCGTACAGTATTTTGTTTATCAGTGTGTGTCCCACACTGATAAAAGGTACACAAGGGAAGAGGTACACAATTCTCATCAGGTTCCTTAGGTATAAGATATGCTAAATAATCATTTCTATAGGGCTGAGACTGTGAGCAAATCTTTATCATCAGATAGGGTTGGCATCTAAATTGTAGTGCAAAAACTATTTGGAACACTAAACACTAAATACCTTAACCTCATGGAGTAAATAAGGAACATAAATTTCATTGTGATGTCTTCTTTTATTAATTTATCTACCCTTATATTCTTTCTTCCCCCCCTACTTCCAGAGTCCTTTTCAGCATGTTACTGTTCTTCCTGCTTTTGCCTGTCTCTTGCTTCACAAGAGATGTTTCATATATCATTCTGAACACCATTATTTATTCCAACAAGACTGCTAGCTAGACATTTTCCTTCCATCCACCCCTATTCTGTTTCCTACACCGTTGCTTGCTTGAAGGAAATGCTCTAGCTAACAGAGTGTGTAACCATAGGGACTGTCAGTGCTAACAGCATACCAAAAGCACAAGTCTTGGGAAAACATTAGCCTTGCACTTTTGTGGGATCTTCTCAATAGAAAGTAGCCCATGTCCTTGGATGGAGTTAGAAATTTATAACATGGAACTAAATTTAACCATAAAGAAAATACTTTCCCTTTTCATTGAAGAAAGTATATTTTACATAGTAATTGGAAGAAGACAAGTGGAAGTTAGGGCAATGAAGAATGGTAAATTTCCTCTCAACCATTTGTATTTAGACAGATGCTCCCATGTTAAAAATATGCCAAAAATCTTTCAATGTTTGTTAGATAAAAACATAAATTCCTTAATGTCACTTCCAAGGTTCCTAATGACCTGAACTGCCTACCTCTTACATTGTAACTCTTCATTCCACTACATCTGTGACCTGCCATCCTGAATGTATTGAGCTCTCTTTCACTCTCAATAGGGACTTGCTGATTCCTGACAGTGATCAAAAGGATCATTTTTCCATTTTGCCTCTTTCTGTTTTCATTCTTTCCATCTAACACAAATAACACTCGTACTAGTTTGAGGTTCTGGATCTGAAGCAATCTTAAGTAGTTTTGATCTCTAAATTGGGGTTTACAATTTAGATAGTTGAGAATGGTGATTTGGTAGTGTTATCAAGAGTTCTTAGGAAGATGAAAGGGATGATGGATGGAAGAGGGAAAATCTGGGCCACCTGCTGAAGATAAAAAATTATCCTGGAGATGAATACACAACAAAGTAAGGATTCTGGTTTAATATGGGATTGACATTACAGATCTCCATGGAAGAAGTTATTCCAAGTTACCAAGCCAGTGACTTCCCTAGCAGTAACATTAATACAAACCTGGCTCTCATACTCAGACTTAATATTCAAGAGAGCCTGAGTCATGTCCAGAGGGAACACAACAGCTACAGTTGGAATTTCATATAGTAACACAAAAGAACAAGGCTTGGAAGTAGACAGAACAGACCATTGCTCGAATATTCTCTCAAGTACACATCAGAGAGAGGAGGAAAAGATCCTTTCATAGGACAGACTGGAGGAATACTATTTCAGTTCATAGGGACTAGTTTATTGATGAGTAAATCCTGTGGCTCTCTCCTAATTTAGACCTCTGAATTAATTTGCCATGTAAATACAATCCTTTATTTTTTTTATACCCCAGGCCCAACACTTATAAGCAAGTAAATATATTCTACTTAGAAGGATTAAACCAGGGATTGGGAGGGTATTTTCCATCTCATTAAAAAAAAAAAAAAACAGTTCTAAAGATCTGCCATTTCCTGTACACACCAAATGATAGCACCTGTGTCAACAACACATGACAAACGGAGTTGCTGGTTCAACTCCCTACTTGGCCAAACAAAATGCTGACATTAGTTTCATGTTTAAATCATATTTTGGGTGGTAATGTAAGATAATTTATTCACATACTCATTTAATAAGTATATATATTAAACACAGGAAGACATCCTTTTGGCTCTGATATTAATGTATTAAATCATTGATTCATTAATCACAGTGCCACCCTAAAGGAGAAATATCCCTAAATTCTTTGACACTGTGGGCTCCAGTCTAGAGTAACCAACATTCAAAGTATATTAAACTTAGGTTAAGGGTTTTTGTTTATTTTCCCCCAGTTCGCATATGTAAACTCAACTGCTTTAAAAAAAAATCTATGACATTACTTTTTAGATTCCACATGTGAATTTTTTTGCTTAGAAGAAT